GTACAGACAGTAATCGGCGGTAAATATAGTCTTTCCGATGGTTTAACACTCAGTCGATAAACATATGGATAACTGAAGTACTCTTTTGTCACTTCTATTCCTCCGTAGAATAGCACTGAAAGACACAACACTTTTGCACATAATTTCATAAGCGATTGAAAGTTGTAATGAATTTTACTTTTAAATAAATTAAAAATATATAAACAAAGATTGAACATCATATAAAATAAACTTCCCATTTTAAAAATAATAATAGTTGTAAAAATATTTAGTCTTGAACAAATATATAATATATTAGCCATTTAGATATTTTTACAGTTGAATTAAGTTTAATTTTAAAATCGTAATATATTATAAAATTGTTTTCGTGTGATTTATATACGAAAAATAATACAATAATACGCCCAACACTCCCATTATGCCAATATTTTTAATAAATAACTTCAATTTTATTTTTATTAACTTAATTAAATAGGCGCTAGGAAAATAAATAATTTATCACGTTTTTAATTTTATAAAATTAATTTAATTGCAAGGTACTTTTGTAGATCACGCTTTAGCAAAATTTAATATTTTGGAAAGCTATTGTATTTTTAAAAACTCTACTAATTAATTGTTTAAATAACTGAAAAAATTTAAACAATTTGAGCATGTTAATCTATGTGAATTTGTTTGCTGAATAAACTAATTACTAGTTTTGTAATAAATTATTTATTTTATATTATATAAAACCAAATTACTATATTTTTGTTTGTTATTAATATGTATTTTCATTAAACAAAATTAATATATTACAACCTATCCCATAATACAAACACAAACAATTATATTAATTAAATTATGATTGATATTTTTCTAATTATAATTATTTTATTCAAATATAATATAACCGCACCCTTACAGCAAATTAAATCAAAAGTATTTTATTTATTCTATTTTCGTAATCATGATAGTTTTGGTGATCTTGTTAATTGTCAGAGCACCGGTAGCTTCACGTAATTATTATTTTTATAGCAATTTTAACGCTGACCGAGGATGAGATCATAGCCCAGGGATGGCTCTTCATTTTGTCCGGTTTTGACACCACCTCTCAGACCATCACTCACTGCATATATGAGCTGACAATGAACGCCGACATACAGGAGCGCGTCTACCAGGAGTTGGTCGACGCTCTCGACTCGACCGATGAGATCGGTTGCGACGAGTTGTCGCGTCTAAAGTATTTGGACGCAGTCTTGTCGGAGACCCTACGCAAGTACCCGACCATCATATTCCTGGAGCGCACCTCCCTTTCCGAGTTCCGCATTCCCGACACCGACATCACGATACCGAAGGGCCAGCAAATTGAGATACCTGTCTATACGATACACCATAACCCGGAGTACTACCTGAATCGGGACAAATTTGACCAGGAACCGTTTATGCCGGAAAATAGGGACGACATACAGCCCTATACATACATGCCCTTCGGGGCCGGCCCTCGCAATTGCATCGGTACTCGATTGGCGCTCATGGAGGCCAAGATGTGTGTCGCCCACGTGCTCAACAAGTATATCCTGCACCCCATTCCCTGTACACCCGACTCAGTTCATCTCAAAGTGTCCAAGATCGTGTTCGCCACTCAAAGCTTTAAAGTTGGCATTAAAAAGCGTTGATTACCCTGGACACAATTGAAATCTTAATTTGACAACATATAATCAAGATATAATCTGCATTATGATTAAGAACTAAATGATTAAATTGAAAACATATTTTATTTCTTGATTAAATTAAAGGTATTTATTAAATTGTTACCGTGGTATAAGATTACACTAATCTAATAATCCGACATTTATACAGATAATTTAGCATTATTTAAACATAATTAATTTCTATTAGTATTCATTAAAAAATAATTTTCCACAACTTTATTGTGTACAGTACGTTTAATCACATGTACATGATATTTGGCAAATATTAGGTTTTAAATTAAACCACTCATATTTTTTTTATCATATTTGTACATTTATTTTAAGCAATCAAATCAAATGTCAAAAATATTTTAAAGTCAACAGTTTATTAACATTGAAATGTGGTACTTTTATGTGTTTTAAGTAAATAAAGGTATAGATATAATCTGTTTTCTACAATTTTATAGCAAATTTTGAAATCACTTTTCAAATCAAAATCAAAAGCATCTATGTCAATCAAAAGTAATCTGAAAAACTATGTCAACTCTATCGTAATTTATTTATTTGAAATACATTGTTACTCTAGTAAATGAATGTATTATTTTTGTACAAGCAATTATATTTCTTACTTAAGTTATAAAGATTTTCCAAAAAATATAATTATAAATTGCAATAAAAATATTTTCATTTCTAAATACAGTAACTATTCAATTGGGTTGAGATGTCTGTCCACCGATTGTATTGAGTTTCATATCCGACAAACTGTCCGATTCCTGTCCATCGACGTCATCGTCGTATAAATTCTTGATTCTTGAGGACAAGAATATGACGATTATGTCGAAGAGACTGCCGAAGAAGTAGAGGCCGAGTGTTAGGCCGTGTAGTCGGCGCCGGAATGTCGGCGTGTCGTACGCCCAACAGTTGCCTCTCTGTCCACAACTGGACTCCCATATCAGACACGAGGCATCGGCTACCGCCCCATAGACCAGTGGGTACGGTATGAATGCTTTTCACAAACAGATAAATTGTATTAATTTTAATAATAATTTTGTTTTACAACAAATGTATACCAAATATAGACATGAAAACAGTCATTAATCCGATGGAAAAACTTTTATCCTCTTTCCTAACGATTCTGTGATTAAAACATAAAATAATAATTTATGAAAATTTAAGATTTCTGTGCATTTAATACCGAAACGATATGATATTGTTTCCCGTTTTAGCCAAACACCCGATTATATTACTTATGCCTAAAAGTGTGATA